AAGATTCTCCCTCCGTGTGCAAACACGGAAACTTCTAACCCTGTGAAATGAGGGGCAAAAGATTGAAGACAAATATTTAAAGAGAGCTATCTACAAGATGCCGAGCAGCTGCGAATGGAGATACAGAAACCCAGCTAGAACCAAAACACAATAATTAGGCAGCGTGAGGGTGAAGATATCAAGTATATCAGTAGAGGACAGAGAGTGTTATAGTCAGTGAGCATGACACAGCTGTGATGCTGTGGAGGGAAGTTCAAGTTCAGGCCGCCTGTAAACGATCAGCTTCTCCCTTCATCCCTCTTGAATTAACCTTTTTCTCTGTGAACAAATAAACACAATGTAAGTGATGTTTTCCCAAACTGAAGACAAATTCATATTGGGCAGATTTTTGCTCAAGTTTTCATGCTGTGACATGTCTGACCCTTTCCAGAATTTAATTTTACACCATGGATTCTAGCAGGGCTTCCCACACGGGCAAGAAATGAATCGTGACAGTTCCCCCCGAATGCTCTCTCTCCTCAAACCCCCCCTCTCTTTTAGTCGAAGCTGACTGAGCAGCATCAGATATGGCCGACATTCTTGCCTCTCTGTGCGTCCCGTCTGTGGAGGGAGAACACAAACAAACAGTCTGGGAGGAGCCCCATCGAGGCCACAAATATTCCTCCATTATGACTTTCTGACCACATTTGTGTTTGCAGCTCTGGACGCTTTTATGTTTGGTATTTTTACTCCACATGCTCCGCTTGTTTTCTCTTAGTAAGTCATAGCTGCATGCACACTGTCACCAGGCATTCTCCGCAAACTTCTGCCTCCTAAACTTTGGGAATAACATCTTTGTAAGACGTACAAGAATGTATTTTGATACTTTCTGACATTTTTCCGTATGTTTACATCAGCAGAACCTTTAAAACATGCCAGTCGTGGGGCTTCCTATATGTAAGACTAGAGGTCCGTGCCCCCACTCCCGGCCTGCAGGGGATTTATTTTAGCCCTTTACAGTTGGAGAAATGACAGATCCTTTCATTCAACAGCAGCCACTTGTACTGTAGAAATAACTTTGGCACAGGAAGAATGCCATGCATCTTCAGTGAAGCACCTGGAGCTGAAATATTTGACCTTCATACCTGAGGAATTTGACTCCTCAGATGATTAAACAGGGTGGTGGTGAATACGGGTGAATTTGGAGCACTTTATACCGAAGTCTCAGCTTTCACTACCTAAACAGAAAGTTTAAATGGAATTACAACCAACTGAGGAACACTTCTGTCTGATTTACACCATTTGTGACAGATTTATCACCACGCTCCCAAATGTGTGTCAAAGTGTCACAACCTTATTGCAACAATCCATCCAAGTAAAATACTGTTGCTGCCATCTCTGTGCCCTGTTCGATGTCCACCTGTGTTCACCAATGTACCACTCTGAACCTCCCAACCAGTGGTATATATCAGTGGAACATTACTATGAATACAACCAGCAGCAGTAGGTCATCGAGCAGGCTTGGGTTACAGCTCGGGGCTCACCCTCCCACTTCCCCCTACTCCATTTTTGCTATGCTAAATGATTATGCCCCTTCATGGAGCTATCTAATCCCATGGGTAACGTCCCAAAGAGCCAAGGAGCTCTCTCTCTCTATATATATCTGGACGATGTCTGCAGAAATCTTCACATGGTATTTGACGAAGGAGCCTGCCAGCGCTGTGCTTCTCAGAGTTTCACTCAGTGGCTGTGCGCTCACTGTGAAAGGCAAGCTACTCTCTATCGTCCCTCGCTATACCGTGTCCACAGAAAGCAGAAGCACATAATTGGAAAATAATTACAGAAGCAGTTTTCCAGGGTATAATATGAATTTTGAGAGTCTCAGACACTTCCCCAGATGCAATTCCCTGCATTAGACAGCCATCGCGACTGAGCCTCCTCAGCGGCAGACACATGGTTTGTTTAATGTGGTAAGATTTTAAACATGAGAGAGCCTTAAATGTCCCTCCCAGGGGTGCTCTTATGTAAACATGACTTCAGGCACAACAGCCAAGTCAAGCCCATTCTCCGTCCCCAAGCGGCGACTGAGTAGAACCGGACATTCCACATGCATAGTAGGTTGTCACTGCAGGCCTAACAGATTAACTGATACAGCGTTACAGTATTCACATTGGTGCCGCAGCACTCGGGTAGATACTGACGTGAACGTCTGAGAGTTCAGGGACTCTTGTTGACTTCCTGCATATCCCAGTAAAAATAGTTTTTTGACCCTGTTACATCATACAGATATTTTTGTGGCCTTGTTTTTAATTAACACTGAAACATTTCCAACACTGTTTATAACCGTGGTTGTCATTAATCTCACATGGAAGTAAAGATAATGAAAGTGTGAATATACATTCTCCAGGATGCTGCACCTGTTTCACTCAGCTGTTTCCTCATGGCGGCTGAATCAGGACACAGAGACACAATCAGGAATCCAACATCTGATCATCTCAGATCTGGACAACAGTTGTCTGGTGGAAGTTTTGTCTTTTTTTTCTCCTCACACTCACATGTTGTGAGGAATGGAGTCCTCATTCAGTTAAGTCAGTCTACATCCTCACAGCTGTTTGCCGCCCAGGAGGGGTGAATAGCGAGAGGACACTTGGCTGAATGAGCTCATGCATTCGATGTTTTCAACACAGACACATCGTCCGTAAGGCGATGAAATCTTCACTAATGTGACTGGTGGCAAAGATCTGGGAGGGAAATGAAGAGAGCAAGAATACAAACACGAGTTCAAATGCTACTTCTACATTCTTTTATTTTACCAATGTTTTCATCAGGTGGTTAAGAATCAACCTTTTTAGAAATGACACAAAACAGTATAATCTTTTTGAAACTGCCATGAATATTGGATGAGTTTGTCATTTTTTCATATCATCATACCATGTTCTAAAATAAAAGAAACTTGACTCTGTCTTAATGTGTGAGGACCTTTAATGTCCCAAAGGGAACACAGACCAGATCTGTGACAAAACAAGTTCACTGGACCTTGTTTAAGCTATTTTTACTCTGCCAGTATGTAAAAGGAATACATCATAAACAGAGCTTATTTTCATTCCCAGAATGCCACAGCCAATCTTCTGTACCATCACAAACCTCTCTGACTTCCCCGAGTGAAAGGTTGTTGAAGAAGACTGAGATCAAATTTCAAATGAAGAACACAATTAGAACTGTGCTGTCAGAAAGAACATTATAAAATATATCTTCATGCATACAATATTGAATTCGGTATATTTTTTCTGTAAAATAAACCCAATGACATGATGTACATTCTTAGACACACTATGAATTCACAAATGACTTACATCAGTAACGTAATGCTTTGGAAGTGTCAGAGACTTCTCGGGAGGCAGCAGATGCTTTCAAAATGTAAAAATGTATTTGGGTTTTAAATTACTATTGAGAAAAAGAAGAAGAAGTGATCCTCAAACCCTCATGAGACTGATTGTGATCCAGATTGAGAGAAGAGCTTGCGGCAGGAATAAGGTAGGATCTGTGGACATTGTTTATTAGTGTCAATCACAATTATACAAATGGATGTCTATTTGATCTGGACCGAGATGACAGAAAATACTTTTCTATCAGTGAGTCTAAGAAAAGGTTGGTGCCAGAGTTATAAAAAGCAATTTAACAATAAGATTTTAAATAACCCTTCCGATCCCATTTCTTGTTCAGTAAGGTGTTGAGAAGGAGCGCCCTGTTCATTTGCCAGGCCTAGCAACAATAATTTATAAAACAGACCAAAGCATGAGCAGGACGAGGATTATTTTGGGGGACATATCTAATAGCATTAGACCTTGGACTCTTGGCACAGACTGTCAGATCCATATTACAGACCAAGGCAGGTGCAAGAAAGAGAAGTCGATCCTAAAAATACCCTTGAGGATCTTTGTGAGGAGCAGAAGACACTTGGTGTGTCCTCACTTACCACAGCCGTGTGTTTTAGCTTTTCCTTAGGTCAGTAAGAGAGTCAGTAGTCACATTTGAATAATGGTTTAAGGGGATTATTGGATCAGAATATTAATTTATAATTTATACATTGTAATAAAATATATGTGTAATCTGACAAAAAAAATTTTTTATAAAAATACTCATTACTGAGCTGCATGTAAACTGACATATTCTTCCTCAGTAGTTTATAAAGCAGTTAACATTTCTCTAATACAAAGTCACTCAGTGGCTCAGCTGTTATATCTGAGGTATAAAACTCATCCCTGTCTGGCCGGAGCTGGAAGCTGTGTTGCCACATTCAAATGGCACATCAACAGTTTACAGGGAGGATATCCGATACATTATCAGGTAAACACTTCTCTGTCCTGAGCCCCTCAGACTGTGAACAATGCCTCTAGGGCTTGCAGGGCTTACCGAAAGCATCTTTTATCAGACTGCCCACTTGCCCAGAGTGACTACAAGTGACCACCCAGTGGGGCTTTTACTAACTCACCCCCCCAAACACACTCACACAGAGAGACACAGACAACCCCAGTGGCTGCAGGCTGACAAAACCCTGTGTCTGGAGCTGCAAGTGACCCCACTCCCACCCTGTCAAAGAGAAAAGGAGCAGTGTAAATGGGAATATAGGGAAGATTGAATAAAACTACATATTTTAGTGAAAGGAAGGTGCAAAAACTCTAAAGGCACTTTTCAAAGAGACAACACTGCTTTTACATGGGCTGAAACACTGGTTCAACAAACTTCACAAGTGCCATGTAGAAATTTATTGTTGATTTCAGTAAGAAATTGTCCTCATCTGTATCTCTGTTTAAATGGCTTCTGTACCATTACCATTAGGACGTCTCTCCATTGGAGCCTCCCCCCTGTCCATCACATCCCATATAAAGGCGTATCAGAAGTCAAATGTTTGGGAGCAACGAATCCAAGAGCAGATCCTTAAAAAAAACGCCGGGGCGCCCACACACGCCTCCTCCAAAATGGTATTGGATGTCCAAAGGAATCCAGTCAGGCCCCCTTGAAAGTACATATGTGACAGGGCACAGTCAGGCAGACTCTGTACTCCAGCTTAGCGTTCAGTTAGGCACAGGCGCCCCTCAAGCCCCTCTCTCACTTCTCTCCTTGGTTTTCATTTGGACGTTTGGTTGGTGCCACAGCAATAAGCAGACATGGATGCCATCAAGAAGAAGATGCAGATGCTCAAGCTCGACAAGGAGAACGCCTTGGACAGAGCAGAGCAGGCTGAGTCAGACAAGAAAGCAGCAGAGGACAGAAGCAAACAGGTCGGCACCTAGTTGTGTTTTTTTCCTTCTCCTCTTGTGGAAAATCTCACAGATCCATAGAGAAAAAAAACAGGATTACCAGCAGCAGTATACATCTGCTGCCATTTAAATGGACCGCGTCCTAAATAAGGATTAATTACTCGTGGATAATTCCACAAGTCCTAAATAAGGATTAATTACTCGTGGATAATTCCAAAATAAGGATTCAATTGAGAGTAAAACATTCTTCTTGATTTTTTTCTCTCTCTCTTCTGGGGATGTTATAATTCCTCTTCTGAGCTGGAAATTGTCGCTAAACATAGACAGGAAAATGATGTTGAAAATGTGATCATCTGTGATAACAAATGACTTTAATGCATGTGTATTTGATATTCTGTTTAACACTATAATGTCTTTCTAATGCATGTGTAGTTAGAGGACGATATAAGAGAGTTGGAAAAGAAATTGCGCGTATCTGAGGACGAGAGAGATAAAGTGTTTGAGGAGTTCCAAACTGCTGAGGAGAAGCTGCTGACCGCTGAGGAAGTCGCCACCAAGGTATCTGATCCTGACAGTGCATGAGCTAACTTTTCTCTCCTTTTTCTCTCTTTCCACCGTCCTGTCCTGTCCTCTCCTGTCCTGTGCGCTCTTGTGCGCAACCTGTGCGCACTCACGCGACTCCGTCTCTTCACGCTGATCACTACCCCTCCTCCTCCTCCTGACACTGAACTGTCCTGCACTGAAACCCACCTCAGCTTGAGGATGATTTGGTAGCGCTGCAGAAGAAGCTGAAGGGAACTGAGGATGAGTTGGACAAGTACTCTGAGGCTCTTAAAGATGCCCAGGAGAAACTTGAGCTGGCTGAGAAGAAAGCCGCCGATGTAAGTAACCACAAGGATCCACGATGGCACCACTCCCGCACCATCACGCTCCCTCACGCCCCTTCACTCTGTCACCACTGTGAGTGTGTGTGTGAAACGACAGTTCAACAGCACAGAGGGATGAAACCCCCCCTCTGTCGTGGCTTCATTCAAATTAAACCCTCAAATTATTATTTTTATTTCGATTAAATCTTAAAAAATTTAATTTAAATCTTAAAAATTGACTCAAAAACTCCAAATTGACTTTTTGATCAAATGCCCAACTATTGTTGAACTGTCCTTGTGTGTTTTTGTCTGGAATCACATGTTCAATCACTTACGAGTCAGCCCAAACAAACACCTTTTACATTTTTTTTAATCCAATCCATCCATATGCTATAGAAACATTAACATCATGTAACTATGTGTTTTTGATCCAGATATCTAGATGTGTTCTGTCTCATACACTAGGTCTTAAAGGAGGAAGTTTTTTATAGAGTGAATCGTGAAGTAGTCTTCACGGAGCAACGAGAGCAGCGCCTGGATAAATATAGCCCACTGCTTTATATGGTCAAGATAGAGCTCACATCTGCGGGCTGCGCTCTTTGCTTAGCTAAGGGAAAAACACTAGTTCCCCTCGAAATGTCTCAGGCACAGAACTCACTGTCGAACACATTTAGATCTTCTACAGAAAAGTCATTTTTAGAATATATTGTCTCTCATATTAGTTTGAATTCCCCCCATATTTTTTTTTTTTTTTTAAATTCATGAAAGGAAAACTATGTGAAGAATTCAGTATAAGGCCTCTAAAGGTCGTGGTCCACAGGAGACAAAACCCACTTCGGGCCTTCCTCAACATTTTCTCATGATAAACAATTCTTACTAAGGAGTTGAGGTCAGGTTCAAGTGGGGCAGACAGATAAGTTTGCTCACATTGGGTCAATCAGGGAATCAGTTTGCAGTCCGGCTTAAACTCTGCCTCCGAGGAGAGCCTGTTGTCGTAATCCTTTAATCGGATTCCTTCAGGGAGTTAGACTTTGTAGTCCACTGACTTTTAACCAATCACTTGATGTGGCTTTTTATTCCCCTTGGTCTAAAATAACCGCTGCAGTCTCTGTCTCATTCTTCCTTTAGTTTACTTCCAAGTATGTCCAAGTGGCTCTAACTACCACTCACTGTTTTACGGCCTTGTTTCTTCATCTGTTTGAACTTAGTCTGTAATTACTGGATTCAATGAGACTTATCGAGCAGCCTCTGGTCTCACAATATATTTTTTTTACCACGTGTACTTTGGACAATTGACCAGCAGAGGTCGCTGCAGCATCGCTAGTCCACCACAAGCATGAGCATCATAGTGTAAGGACTGAGTGTGTTCCTGCCGTTTAAAAAAGATAAACTCCAATTTTAACAATCAAGATTAATCTTTGTATTATTCTGGGGGATCGATGGAGCAGATTTCCAGGATATTAACAATCATGCAGAATATGTATATTTTAATAAACGCGGTACTTCCTGGACAAGTAACAGCCACTGCAGAGCGCGTCTCCAGAAAGCTCGCGCACCGTCTTTACGCAGCGTTCGACACAATCTAGGACGTCACCTCGCAGCCTGACAGTTTCTCGGAAATTGTGCCGCAGCACACTGTCGCCTGTAGTGTTTTTCTACACAACCTATTCATAATATACCTGTATAGAGTTGTAGAGTAAAACAATGGCCGGGGTTACATCGCTGGAGGCGGTGAAACGAAGGATCAAATCGTTGCAAATGCAGGCGGACAATGCCGAGGAGAGAGTCGAGAGATTACAGAAGGAGTTGCTTGTGGAGAAGAAGACCAGGGAACAAGTAAGCACGCTTAACCGCGCGTAAAGACGCTGCACAGCCGCAGAAATTAGCCCTCATCCCCCCTCTCGTGGTGTGCATTAGTGTACAGCTCATTGTGTTTTATACGCAGTGAGATAGAGGGATTTCTCCGGATGCAGCGCAGTCCTGCATGATGAGCTTTTCTCGGCTCCCTGCAGCTTCACCACTAAGTCCTGCCCCGGGTCTGATACCCTGCTGCTCCGGGGCTCAGAGCTTATGACTGCAGACGTTTTGCCAGTAGATGCACAGGTCACAGTCATCTGCAGCCACTTTGAGGCAAATGCTAAATCTGCCTCCTTTATGTCCCTTTGCGTCTCATTTTGACGCACTTCTTTGTAACGGTCCCATCCGTGCTGCTGCGTAATAAGTTCGGTTAATTCAGAGTTGCAGGCGGCAGGAACAAGGTTAAAACACGTTAAAAGAATCATTTCAAGAAAGCAGGAAGTTACAAGTAAACCGTAGCAATATCTAAGGTGCCAGTCTGCACTGTGCAAGCATATGCTCTTTGACTTGTCCATATAAGGACAACAGGTTTTCACAGTTAGAGTGATTTCCCTTTGTGTGAACACAGGAGCTCTTAACTAGATGAGAATAAAATCCTTGGTCAGGGCCTTACAGTGTGTTTTAAATGAAATTAAGGCCACTGCTGCAGTTTATAGATGATCACTAACTTCCTTGTCATGCTTCAAACCTCCATTTGCACTTTGGCCCATGCTGCTCTGCACACTTTAACACAAGCTGCAAGAGGAAAGAGCCTGAAAAGACCTCAGACACCAGGAAGCAGAAGTTGACTGATCTCAAAAGAGGCCTGCTCTCTTTTTCAACATCACAACCCCATTAATGCAAATTGTGACGGGTGATATTAAATGTTTCTCTCAGTTGGAATCTGTCCAGAGAGTGTCCCCTGGGGTTGAATGTGTAGCAGTCATTTCCAGTGTTATTGTCCCAGGCCCTTTGACTTGAGCCTTGTTAATGTTCTCCCAGGGGCCCAGTAATGAGGCTGGGGTAGTCAAACTTCTGTCAGCCGGGGACATTGTTATCATTATGATCAGTGAGGAGCACAGGCAACTCTCCTGGGTGGGTTTTTCCCTACAGGTGCTACTGTGAAACACTTATGAGCAACCCTGACTACACTCAGATACACCACCTACATTCTTTGGGCTGACGTGTACGTGTGCACATGTGTAGTTTCAAGCTTTTATTTTGTAAGAGTTATTGTGGCCCCCCAAATATTCTGACACGCTGTTCCTCTCTCCCCAGGCTGAGGCAGATGTCGCTTCTCTTAACAGACGTATCCAGCTGGTTGAGGAGGAGTTGGATCGTGCACAGGAGCGTCTGGCAACTGCCCTGACCAAGCTGGAGGAGGCTGAGAAGGCTGCTGATGAGAGCGAGAGGTGAGTTCTTTCCTCTTTTTCTTCAGTCTTGGACGCCTGATCTCTGCCATTTCTGTTCCTCTCGCTCTCTTGCTGTAGAGAGCAGGTGGCAGGGCATAAACACATCCAAGGCAGCTGTGTTTCCATCTCTTTGTGAGGGCCACAAGCACTGCCTCTGTGCTCGCTTAGTTGTGTCAGACAGCGCAGTCATTCCAAATCCTGTATTTTCTCTCTCTATGTCAGAAAGCAATCGGTCATTCACCTTTAAAAGAGAATATTAAAGATTTAGACATGTTTTTTCCTCTGGGAGAATGCTGTATCTGTCGGGTCCCAGCTCCTGACTCTACTGTTGGTTCTGTCACACAGAGGCATGAAGGTCATTGAGAACAGGGCCATGAAGGACGAGGAGAAGATGGAGCATCTGGAGGTTCAGCTCAGAGAAGCCAAACAGATCGCTGAGGAGGCTGACCGCAAATATGAGGAGGTGAAGTTTCCAGGCCCAATGACTGCCCCCTGAACACTGCACATGCAGAGCAATCAATACCACCGTTAAAATACTCTGTGACAAAAACTGATAATAATCAGCATCAATACTCTACTTGCATTTTTATCCAAATCATAAGTTAACTTAAACCACCATCTTATTAGACAAAATAAACCTTTCATTAATGGTTGAAAAATGGTTTAAAACACACTCTAATTTGTTATAAACTTTTATCAATACATTTGTCAATTACTATATTTTTTGTGGGCCCCAGTAAATGGAGGCTGGTGTGTAAACAGATAGTGACAGATACAATATTGTGTTCATATGAGAAGTCTTAATACTGTATATTTAACAATAATAATGATATAATGTTAGTTTAGTACTTTTAACAATGCCCAGACCCTTAACATAGGATAAAAAAACAGAGGGCAAATCAAACTGAATAACTGTAAATCTAAAATACTGATTATAAGTACACATTGAAATATATAAGACATACCATAACAAATGTCCTTCTATCTGTCCATTATTACATTATAGATGACATATATAAGAAATATAGTGTGTCTTTAAAAGTTCAGTGGAGAGTCTAAGTAAAGTGTCATAAAGTATAACTTCATTTTACTTCACTTTTATTTTGAGGGAATATTTCGTCCTATACGTGCCGCTCAACAAGTCTTAGCTGTATTGTGACACTTTGTTGTGCTGCGCCCAAAGGTGGCCCGTAAGCTCGTCATCATTGAGGGTGACCTGGAGCGCACAGAGGAGCGCGCTGAGCTGACAGAGAGGTGAGACGTCCAACCTTTTTCACATGCACCAATTCTGCACTTCTGCTCACGTGACCACAGGCAGTTGGCTCTCATGAGTGTGGTGACTTTGTGTCCAGCAGTGTTGCCCTGTGTTCTTACTGTCTCTGCTGGTTATTTGCATGCCCTCCGTGGTTTGAATGATTGTGGCTTGCACACGAACATCGCCACGCCCACTATCAGACGAGCTCGGCCAATGGAGGAAGAGCTAAGGGTTTTGGAGCAAAGCATGAAATCACTAACCTCCTCGGTCGCACAGGTACCACAGACTAACACACACACTTCTGTATCGTTGTGGCTCTCTCACTTTCATTCGCGCTGCTGAATGGAGCCTCTGCTTTGCTTGCTGTGCTCTCCTCTTTCTTTGCTCTCTCACTCTTTCACGCCTCTAACATGGCAGGGACTGTGCAAGAATAACACCTCACGTTTAAGAGAAGCATGAAATGAACCCAGGAAGCATTCACCCAATCATTTTTTTACAAGCTACTTTTTGTGTGATGACATGAGCCATATTGCTATTCTCACATGCCTGCTGTGTTAAGGGACTTTGTTAAGCTAATTGGGGTCCCCCTCCTCTTTTTATCCTTGTAGTTTATATTTATTTTGTGTCCTCTCCCTCCTCTCTTTCTTTCTATCCCTCCACCTGTTCCATGTCCGGTTCTGTCCATCCCTTCCCTCATTTTCCTCCAACTCCCCCCTCTTCTTCTCTTCGGCAACTTTACCCCCCTTTTCATCTAAAACACCAGCAAATGCTCTGAGCTTGAGGAAGAGTTGAAAACTGTGACCAACAACCTGAAGTCACTGGAGGCCCAGGCTGAGAAGGTAAGCGTGACCCTTCTGGCCACGTGCATGCTGTTACCCCCCCCCCTCATAGTAGACTGGGGGGGGGCAGACGACCCTGGAGGAGCCTGAATCTCTTCCCCTCACTCTTATTTCACAGTATACGTATATATGGCATTACTTTGAGCACACTGGGACATCCAGAGTTTGAATCCTGTTGTTGTTTTTGTCCCACAGTACTCACAGAAGGAGGACAAGTACGAGGAGGAGATCAAGGTCCTCACCGACAAGCTGAAGGAGGTAAAGTTTCACGAGGCCTTATCTGGAGTCCGGGAGCGTTCACAGGAGTCGCAGTGCAAGTGTTGGACTTAACTCGTAAATCTCTCTCTCTCTGCCACAGGCTGAGACTCGTGCTGAGTTCGCTGAGAGATCAGTAGCCAAGCTTGAGAAGACCATCGATGACTTGGAAGGTATGATTTTTTTGCGCTGCTCCCCAGAATGTTACTCTGTTTATTTTAAAATATTTTGTTTCATGATAGTCAGATGCTCAGCTCTTTACCATCAGCTGATTCTTTGCTTTGCTGTTGACTATTTCTACTTTCCTATTCATTTCATCATGGCTCTTTATCAGACAGCATCATACTTATCTTATCTTGCCTCGTTTAAGTCGAGTTGGTTTGTTCTTGAGTTTCCAGGTCGGAAAGAATGGCTTGAAAGTTTTCTCAGATATGAGGCCTGGATGTTGAATTAGTGGAAAGCTAAAGGCGTGAGAGCCACATGGCAGAAATTGACCCTTTGTTGCTTCCATTCTGTCATTTCTGGTGTAACTTTGTTTTCCTCTTTTTCTCAACTGTTTTTTTTCTTTTATACATCACCTCTTCCCGTCGTCCTCCCTCCTCTCTCTATGGTCTGGATGCTTCTCCCCTTCACCTCCTTGTCACGTGCCACTTCACCTTTTCACTGCACCTTCCTCCCTCCCACCCCCACACCCCCGGCCCACCCAATAGATGAGTTGTATGCCCAGAAACTGAAGTACAAGGCCATCAGCGAGGAGCTGGACCACGCCCTCAACGACATGACCTCCATGTAATTCTCAACTTGCCGTGCCTGCTCATGTCACTGTCACCGTCTGTCCCCTCCGTCCTCTGTGCATGATCAGCTACCCCACCTCATCTCCCTGATATGTTGTGAAACCATTACTATTAGTACATCTGCCCCTAGAATTATGATGTTAATGCACCTGTGTTTTTAAATAGTCTTAATGTTGAATGTCTTGAAACAGACATTGTGGAAAGTTTTGTGCAGTTTAAGCTCAGTTGCAATAATAATACTCAACTCAAGATGTTACAATGATACTGATGATGTATCAGTATTATTGGTGATTGAGAATACTGTGAACAGGACTGAAGTATTGAGATGCATGCAGCATGGGTCTGTTTACATTTTATAGCTGGATAATTGTGAGTTTTATTATTTTTTATATGAATATTTGTATTCTATTAGTTAGTGCATTTTTTTAGAATTCCCAAATTTTCTAAAATGATATTGCATTTACACAATGCATGAAGGTTGTTGTCATGGAAACATTTCAATTGATCTCATTCAATGTAACTCACTGTTATGTGTCTCCATTCAAACTAATATGGTGTACGTCTGTGCAGAAGAAATGCCTGCCTATTTGTATGAGCCCCCCCCCCCCATCCTTTTATCTTACTGGTTAACACTGTCCCAGTTTCATTCATCAGTGTGGCCGAGCCCCTAAATTAATTGTTGTCCCTCCTCATTTGATTATGAGATTGAGACAGAGATTGATTGGCGAGGTGCACCACATCTGTCCCGCCCCGTGCCGCCTCTACTGGCGCTGATCGAGCAACCACCTCGATCAGAGAGCGCAGTTGTTTTGACCTTGTGTTTGACTGCATGCTCTACCTCACAATGCACTCCCATTGTGCATTGTGGTCTTTCTCGTGCAGTGCCGTGACTCGCGTGGTTCTTGTGTACTGTGGTGCACATCTCAAATTTCGGTGAAGGTCCTGCGCCAACCCCCCCGGTTCACTGTACTTCTTCTCTCCCACACAGATAAATTGTTTACACCTCATCACAGATGCCTCCTGCCGGCTGAGCAGCACCTGTCTGCCCTCTCCAGCCTTCTCTCCATTCTCCCCTCCCTCCCTGTCTTCGCTTTCCTGTCCTCCTTATGTTTTCATCCTCATGTCAACGATTACTGCATCCCATCTCTTGTACAGAATCCTAGAAACTTTCTGCGTTGTGTAAAAAATAAACGTCCTTCCTTCTATTTAAGCTGTATCTCTTTACTCTGTCCTTTTTCCTTTTCAATTTATCCTCACATGGCTTTAATAAAACCAGGAAGTTTTGATGTTCATTTTGTTTTCTGCATTCTCAACAAACCACTAGTTGAGATTCCCTAGGCGTAGTGTCATAGTTGTTCTTTGTTTGTTGTTCAGATATTTGTCCTGTGAGGCTGAGATATTAGAAATATCTCAATAGAGCAGTGAACACGTAAACCTAAAGCAACTGCAGGTACTTGACTGGAAGCTGAGCCGAGTCTCTCTTAGCATTTGAGACTGATGCATGCGAGCACTTTTGGATATTTAGTCCTGTGGCAGGATGAGGGGACTGGAAAGATTTGGGGATCGGAGGGAACTCGTGTTGGATTGTGATCAGGAAGACTGTGGTGAAGTAAAGGAACGGAGGAGCACAGAACAGTATGTGAGATTTGTTGAGCCTGGTTGCTGATTAAAAGAAAACTGGATGAAACTGATATCAGTGGTGTTGACACGTGGGCTCTGTATGAAACACGGTATCCTGTCATAATGTGAATAAATATACAATCACACATTCTGAGTCGTTTTATTAAGTTTATTTCCATAAAGTCAGGCACAGAAAGACGAGCAAGGTATATTTTTGCTGGAGCTGTGTGTTTTCATAATGTAAACGAGAATGTAGAACAATCATTAAGCTACATTCTTACACTAGAAAAAGGAGGCAGGAGAATAATTGATTCTCAGGAGTTTAATCTAATGTTGATCAGACATGTTAAAGTAAATGCTTAGATTGACATACACATCATTTATAGAATTCCTATTTTTTTTTAATTTTGTTTCCATAATATCTGATTTTAAAGTTAGTGAAACTATGCTGCCATGGTCCTCTTTTTTACTCTACACACTGCCCTGTCATGCGTTACCATCCATGTGTGTTACATGTTTCAGAGGAAGAAAGAAAACTCCCTCTCAAAAATGACAATTAAAGGCTATTCAGATTTATTTCTAGTGTTAGTTTACAAAGATTTAACAAACTCTTAAGTGACCTATTCTAAAGCAGGTAGGTGTCATCAACAGACAATGCCTCTCTCTTTTTCTGTTTTTCCTCTGACTTCCTGTCCTCTCTCTGTTTTTCAACTTGCTCTCTGACTGCAAAGATCGCCTCCACCCGCAGCTTGAGAAAAACCGCCTGCTCACTAATGAACTACGTGTGGCCTTGAATGAGGACTAAATTGTGTGAATGTCTCATGTTCCTCGTTTTAAAATGTGTACGACAATCTGATGCAGTGTGCCATCCGAACCTTGTCAGTTTTGCATTGTCGGTGTATATACAACGCTTGCACTGCTTGAAGTTTGTGTTGCTGTTTTTTGTGGAGATGTATTTAGAGTGAAATGCAGTTTAAAAAAAAATCAGGGATTAGCTCAAATATGTTTTAAAATTTTCTTATTTTAAAACTTACAATAATTGTTTTGTTGTGTTTATGTACATTAATAAGGACTCCTCTGTAGACTGTAACCTGTTTGCATGGTTGCTTGCGCATCATAATACGAGCTCTCTTGTTTTCTGCCAGTGTTGTGCAGAATGGGTTAATTGAATGACTTGACCTGAACGATGTAGCCAGCTTCATTATTAATGCAAGCTAACCTGTGTCGCTCTGTGTGAGATTAAAACCTTTTCGTTTGATGTTCTAACAGAGAAACTCTCACACGCTAAAGAGGAGAACCTCGATATGCACCAGATGCTGGACCAGACTCTAATGGAACTGAATAATTTGTGAAAGCACGGTCTGACCCCATCACACACTGTGGTTTTTGGCTTTTTGTCCTTGCACCTTGCTTACGTAAACCTCTCCTCGTACCTTGTCTGTGGTGGAGAAACAAACAGCCAGATGCTATTCCCGTCGCACCGCCCTGCCTTCAGCAGAACCTGACCAAGGAGCAAAGCTAAAGGGAAGTAAAGCTTCACCATTATTCCCTTTGATGAAAATTAAACTGAGCTCACCATTGTTTTTGCAAGCCAGTTTCTATCTTCTAATGATGTAGGTTTATTTCTTTTGTGCCATCCGTTACAATATTGTTTTCTACATCTGCATTTAAGCTGATCAGGTACGCTCCATTCGACTCTGATTATGCACATTCCAAAGGATAAAGTGGAGAAATTTTGCACTTAATATAATAAACCTCAACATTATGAACCGTGTGCAAACTGTAAGACAATATGTTTTAGAAATACATGCCCTCCTCCCAGAAAGTGTAAGTATACATTGACTACACCAGTCAGTATGTATACTGGTGCTACTGTACTGTAAAGCAATGTCTTAAAAATGCTAATACATCACGGTATAGTCTTAGTTTTCTTAAAAAAAAACATTTTAAAAATGTGTTCATCTTGTCTGTAAAGTATGATTTGAGTCATCTGGTTGTGCAACATTTTAGCTTTTATGTTAACGTAGATGTTTCAAGTGTTTATCATATCTGACATGTACAAATTAGAAAATAAAAGCACGTTTTGAAAGTTTTTTAACTTTGTTTGTGGTTAATTTAGTTGCCCTTTTGTCCATTTAGTTTGAAGGTGGAGTAAATTAATAGTTTTAATATATTTTTGACGGACAGAATAAAAAAAGAATATTAAATAGACTTCATCTTCCCCACAGAGATGAAGAATGTGTTTTTCAGTACAAGTGCAGAGATCTTCAATTTGGTTCATTTTCGCTAGACACTGAACTTCACCTCCATCTGGGGGAAAAACACTGTCATGTGTTTCTTTGGTTCACTGGAGCTGAGCACTGCTGGACCGTATCAACTCAGTTTCTGATTAATCCGACCACATAGCAGCAGCAGAAAAATGAACGTGACCTCCATATATTTTGCAGGGTATCTTACTTTACTCAGGAGCCATCAGTGGAGCTAAATGCATTTTCCCTTAGACATGTAATGAGCCTAAAAACGAAAAATAAGAAGGCTACTGTAATCTACTAAGGGAAACTGTGTGCACTCATCGTATTATTCAGCTGTTACTGTGAACACAAGCATGTTCGTGTTCTTCGCATGTTCACAGCAGATAAGTAGTTGTCACAACCTCAAAGTCCTGTGTTGCACCAGTGAGAGATAAGGGGGGGCAGAGAGAGAGAGTGTGTGTGTGTGTGTGTGTGTTTATTTTCCCTATTTCACAATATTTTAGTCTCGCCAATTAAAGTGATACTAATAGATGCACTAACTTAACATTATTGTAACAGCAATTATAGCAGCAGAGAATCAATTATAGTTACTATAATAATAATAGAGAGGATGAAAATAACACAACGATAGTTGCGTGTCAGTGTCACATCTAGATCCTGCAGTTCTGAGTCACGTACCTGCTGAATGAGAACAGACAGGATGTCATGTTTTTCATTGAATAAACACACGATTTTAAATTATTTCATGAACCTGTTTAAACACTGATTCACTGAATTACCTTAGAAAGATGAGTTTTAGCTGATTTCTAAATATTAAAAACAGAAACCAGGCCTTTAAAAGTTCTACATATTTACATGTTCAAATCATAATCTCAACATGCAAATATATATATATACATATAAATATATTGAGTAAGGATCAAAGAGTTCCACCAACAGTTACTAACAAGATCAATAAAGGTGTCTCAGAATATCAAATATATAAAAGGAGAAGCTGGTCGAGTTCACAAACGGGGAAGTGGGACTTTCCGAGGAGCCCGTGAATGCAGCAGTTCCACCTGACTCGATTGTTCAGGTCTGGTTCGATGATTCTTTCAGGAAGTAGCCGCTCAGCAACAGAAGCGGTTCTCACCATGTCGCGGTTGTTTGTCACCCGCCGCTTTTGTCCCTCGTGTCCTCGGCCCCTGTCCTCCCGGTCTCTGTCTCTGTGGACGAGGCTGAAGCAGCAGCAGCAGAGGAAGGGTTTCTCCCAGCAGCACAGACTCCACACGCAGGGGTTCACACAGGGGAAGTCCAGGCTGTGGGTGTGCGGGCTCGGTGTGGGGTTAGCTTTAGCTGTGGGGCTGAAACACCGCTGGTGTGGGGATGAAGCTGCAGCAGCGGAACGGACCGATCGATACAGAGCTGCGGTGTCAGTGAGCAGAGAGCTGCTGCACAGGATCCAGGTAGGAACACAGTGTGTGGCCTGTTTCACCAGCACTCACTTGGCTCTATATCCTGTATAATAATAATAATAATAATAATAATAATAATAATAATCCACGTGTGTGTTGTCTGTGTGTTGTCTGTGTGCTGTCAGGCGGAGGTCGGGGCTCCCGGGCTGGTGGTCGGGGTCTCTGTGGACGGTGCTCAGGTCTGGTGTGAGGGTAGGTGCCTCTGGTGGTGAAATGGTTTAAAGGTCCAGTGTGTTAGATTTAGGTGAAAGGGATCTATTCGCAGAAATTGAATGTAAAATAATCCTAGTGATGTTTTCACTACAGTTTCATCTAAATTGTGCGTTTGTTGTTTTCTTCACCCTAGAATGGGCTCTTTATATTTAAAACTTTATATTTACATCTGGAGGGGCTCCTCTCTACGGAGGTCGCCATGTTTTTTTACAGTAGCCCAGACTGGACAAACTAAACACCTTTTGAGTTTCTATGACAACTGAAGGCTACCACAGTTTCTGTTTTTTGTTTGGAAGGGGAAAGGGAGGTGGGGGGTATTCAGCTGAAAACATGCAACTTCATCATTAGATGTCACTACATTCTACAAATCAAACCTTAAAGAGATAGTTTAGAGATTCTGTAGGGTCAAGGAATTATTTCCCACAGAAAAACGAATGAATTGTCTCAGGACTGAGTTTTTGTTATCCACTTGTAGTATGAAGTTAGGTAAAATAGCAGTATTGGGCCGTCGTGGCTCATTTTTCGAGTGTCAGTGGGATCTTAATAATATACATAACATAATCGTGATGCTTTAGACATGTAGGGATAGGGCAAAACTAATCATGTAAACTAAGAGAGATGAGGCAGATACTGCCCCCTCTCTCACACGCTTCAAATCATTGTTAAAGACACATCTCTTCTCTTTAGCCTTTTCGAGTTGAGAGTGTTATTCTCACAGCAGATTTTATTATCATTATTTTGACATGTTGCGTATTGCTATTTTATTGTTGTACCTTTGGTCAATCAAGTTTTTGACATTGACATTTTCTTATACAGTAATACTACAATTACCCAGAGCGGAAAACGGGATAAAGTTACTTATTTTGTACTAAAACATAAGAAATTGAGTTTATAATTATACTAAACAGCAAATGGTTGTTTTGGAGAAGCTGGAGAACACCTCTGCCACCAATGATTAACCAACCATCAAAATAGCTGCCAATTCAATTTCTGTTTTATTGACTAAATTGTGTGAGTGTTCTCATAATCATTAGTTGCTGTTGGAGTTGTCCCTCTTGCTGACATTATGCAAACACTGGCATCATGTTTTCATTTGTGGGCCTGAGCTATGCAAAATGGTCGGGTCTATGCGTCACCAGGCTGCATGGTCCCACAAAGGATTACAAGAAAATGAATGCTCAATTGGTGAGGTTGCTGAAAGTCCCATAGGTTGCCAGTTTTTGCACCTTAGCCGGGACCCCAGTAATTGCCATTGCAGCCAACACTGTTGCTCTTACAGATTTCCTGCCTTTTTTGGCAAAAGAAAAATCCTTTGAAGGTTGTAAAGAAAAAAAAATGGGAGACACCTCCCATTGTTAAAGTGGCCGTTCCTGTCATGAATCAGACCAGCGGATTGCCACAGGAATAAGAGACCCAGTGACAAACAATAGGAAATTAAGCATCATTGCCATCCATGGTCTCTTTCCTTGACTGAAATGTCTCAAAACTGATTTAATGCAACACACTGACTTCACTGAAATCACATCCCAAAATGACTCTTTAAAATTCAGGGATCGGTTTTGCTGATTTGGAGAACCGTGTGCCGTGCAGCCCAGAAACAGTGATGCGGATCGCCAGCATCAGTAAACCCCTCACATCTGCAGCTGCTGCACGACTGTGTGAGGAAGGGAAACTGGATCTTGATGTCCCTGTCCAGAAATATGTCCCTGAATTTCCCCAGAAACAATTTGAGGGTCAGGATGTAAGTCAGTTGAAGAGATGCACAAAATATTTCAGCAGTCCTGTCTTGTGCATTTTTTGTGTTCATCTCACATTCACGTTATTTATTCTGTTCTCTCAGGTGACGATAACCCCTCGTATGATCCTGTCCCACCTGAGCGGTATCCGACATTATGAGAAGGATGTGAAAAAGGTGAAAGAGGACAGGGAGAAAGCTAAAAGACTTCTAAAGCCACTGCTTAAAGAGAAAGAGGATGAAAAGAGCTCATCTGAAAACAAAGACACTACTGAACAGAGCAGTAAAGAGAAGGACAACACAAAGGCTAAGAAGAAAAAAGAGTTTGAGCATGAAGAATACTATTTGAAGGACAACTTTGAAAGTGTCACTCAGGCCTTGGACCTCTTCAAGGATGACCCACTCATTTTCAAACCCGGTAAATCACAGATTTCCCTGCTAATGAAACAAGTCAAACACGATTCATTCTCAATGTAAATGTATGAAGATTTATACGATTTATATTTTGCGTCATGCAGGCTCCACTTTTTACTACTCCACCCACGCCTATACTCTGCTCAGTGCTGTTGTGGAGTGCGCTGCCGGCCAGCACTTCATGGACGTCATGATGAACATGTTCCGTGAGCTGGGGATGCTCAAAACAGTGCCTGATGAGAATGGTCCTATTATTTATCACCGCTCCAGGTAATTCGAGTAAATATTCAGAAGTTATTATGGGGGAGATGTGTCAGTAACATCAGAGCAGAACTGTTCTTTTGAGGTCGTTTCATGCTAAGACTCCATTGGTAAGTCCATATTAAAATATAACGTTCCTCCACAGATATTATCATGTCAACAAGAGAGGACGTGTGGTAAACTGCCAGTATGTGGACAACTCCTACAAGTGGGCAGGAGGCGGCTTCCTTTCCACGGTGGGAGACCTGCAGCTGTTCGGTAATGCTCTGCTCTACAGCTACCAGGTAGCCCACCTTAAGGACACAGAGGGCTTGTTGCCAGGCTTCCTTAAACCCAAAACTGCCATAGATCTGTGGGCACCTGTTGACAGGACAGAGGCCAGCTGGGATAAGGATGGGTTGTATGCCCAGGGCTGGCTGGTTGTGGAGAAACTGCAGAAATATGGCCAGTGCAGGAGGCGCAGGCACTACGTGTCGCACACAGGCGGCGCTGTGGGGGCGAGCAGCGTCCTCCTGGTGTTACCCAGAGAGGAGGTGGAGCAGCATCAAGGACAGAGCTGTCCGCTCCCACAGGGGGTGGTGGTCACCATCATCACTAACATGCAGTCTGTGGGACTCAACAGCACTGCACTGAAAATTGCACATGAGTTTGACAAAGCCAGACAAAGCCTGCAAGAGTAAGCTAAAGAGCTTTTCTAGTTTTGATGAAAAGCTCTTTATGACTTGATGATGACAGTTTGCCATTCACTCATTTAAACAGTGCATCTATTAGCAGCTCTTTTTTTAATTCGGGGTTCAGTATCTTGCCCAAGGACACTTTGGCATGCAGGTGGCTTCGAACTGCCGACCTCCTGATTGGAGGAGGAGGATGTCCACTCTACCCCTTAGCCACAGCCGCCACAATAATGATGATCTTGTGATCCGGTGTCATTTTGATAGAGCTTATTTTTAGTACCATAGTCTTCGAAAATGAAATAAATATTAACATGTATTTATATACATTTCATACCTTGCATAATAAACACCTTTTTAATTACAACACAAAGCACAGATGCCATTTTACCACTAGGTGGAGGCAGTTTCTTACACCAACAGGCCACTGACCTTTGATACCAGTGACTGGCTTCATACAGGAAGGAATTCATTTCACAATAAAAACTGCCTGAAAAATGAATCTCAATCCATCCATTTCAATAAATTAATTTTTTAGAAATTTTAGAAAAGCTTTTCATGTACAATAAAAACACTAAGGTTGCCATTTAAAACAGCGTGCTATGTAACTGAGTTTATACCCAGATATTTCCTCATAGCATCTTCACATACTTTTAGAAAAACGCTATGGTGTATTGATGGAGGGTAGCTCTGGAAATAGAACATAGGTTGATATTACCAACTTTTGATATCGAATGTATTTGCCTCTGATAAATTGACTCAAGCCACAAGTAAAATCCTGACTTTTCTTTGAATTATAAAATAAAATGCCTGAATGAGGATCAGTAACTAAGCTGTCAGCTGTTCAAAGTGTGTTTTTGCTTCAATACTTGGCCTCAGCTATGTGAGACCACTGTGTGTCCCACCCAAACCAGAGACTAACAAACTATTAGCAATGCAGCTAAACAAGTTTTAATTGTTCTTCAAACTGAATTGACACAGACTTGATGTCACCATTCTCATTAGAAAACTCCTGGGATCTCTGATCTCCTGTGCCCCTATTTTTAGATTTAAGTGAACTGATGAACGGCTTGGGATAAGCTAATTATACAGAGTCCCTCACACAGTGTATCTCTTAAGTTTGCTGTGTGTGTGTGTGTGTGTGTGTTTGTTTTCAAACTGCCAAGTGGAGACATTTTTAAAAAGTGAGGTCATCCTGACCAGTCTGGACTTCTTCAAGGGGCAATTATGGTTTAGGGTTAAGATTAGATCATAATTATTTTAAGAATAGGCTGCAGGCTGAGGAATGAAGTGCTGACGGTTAGGTTTAGTTTAGAGGCCATTCAAGCGAATGACTAGTCAGTCAGGAACTTCACAAGTAGATTAATGCTGTGTGCGTGTGCGTGCTTGTTTCCGTGTCACCAAAAATCAGAGTCAAATGATTCAGTAGGGATCATTACATATTTTTACACAATTAGAAAATATTTACTAATAACAAATTCTGCATAATTCCTAATCAATACAAGTTATTTTTCACTTATAATAACTTCAATGTGCAGCTTAATAGTTCAAAGACTAGTTTTTCAACGACAACTGTGCTCTGTCAATACAAAACACATTGAAATGAATGTGATGTCACATGATGGACACCAGTGCCAACTTCTTTAGCTGTGTTATAAAGGTTATACTATCCAAGTGATTCAGATCTGTCACTTTCACACCCTGTGTTTGTGTGTGTGATTTAATGAATTACATGTTTCTTTAACAAACTGGATCCAGAAATCTGATGAGACGATTAATCGGCTCTTCGCTCGCTCACTTTAGTTACATTTGGCACGGCACTTTTCCTCCATCTCTCATAGTCATATGATAAGATTAATTCATCGTCCTATCCAACACACAACAAGAGAGGACATGTTCATGTTCATCAAGATACAGGTTAAACTCGTGGTTTTACTCTCCAATACTGTTGCGGGTTGTTCTGTTGGCTCTGTTGATTGGCTTTCAACATCCTGTGTGAAGACACAAGTCATGGTCATGAGCTTTAATAAATAAATATAAATATCCGCAGACTTATGAATTCCACGTCCTAATGTTCCCTTTTTTTTAAGTTTTGAGAAAAACGAATGCATAATCTGCTTACCTGCGCACGTAGTAGATAACAAATCCGAGCACCACTAAGATGAGGAGAGTAATGATGAGCACGGCTGCAATTAACCCCGCCTCCCCTGCGTAGGTGATCTTACTCTGCAGCAGATACTCCTCACATCTGCTGCCTTTGTAATCATCGTTGCACCTGAAAGAAGATGTGACGTAGAAACAATACAATTATGCTCTGCTGTAAAATCAACATATACTCCTGCATAGATGTTATAGACTCATTCTTACACTAAGAAAGTTGAAAAATATTTTTTAATTAACTTACACACAGGAGAGTGTATCCATAGAGGGTATTCTGTAGCATGTCGCTCCATTCATACAATAGGTGGCCTCCTGCCCATCACACAGTTCTCCATGATCTACACAAACATAACATTTGAGTAAAGATGCTGGAACAGAACTGAATCGTCACCTTTAAGACTATCTTTGTCTTTTTATATTCTTTCATATTTACCTGCCATCATTTAGACGTTTTTGTTGCTGTTTCCTGAAAACACAGAACACGTTTTTTTTACAGAGGGAAATAATCCTTTCACCACTACGGAAAGAAAAAATGATAAAACCAGATGTTTCAGATGCCAATAATGAAAACAAACCTACATATACAAACAACCTTGTGAAAAGAAAAGAGTTATGAGAGGAATATCATCACCTTGTCTGAAATAAATCAAAAATCTTGTCGTTACCAGCTCTTGAAATCCCAGCTTTCGGTCGTCAGTGAAGGTGAGTCATACTGTCACTTCAAAGTAACTCACAGGTGCTTTTAGTCAGACCTCGGAAGAAACTGTCATGTGGGCGTGTTCCTCCCTTGTACTAGAAAAATGTTGTGATTGCAGTTTGTCCACATTGTGAATGAAATGCTTAACGTCAGGATACAACTGTACCAAGTGATTATAGGTGATTCTGTCTTGAATGTGTCATATGTGGTGTGTGAGTAATTCACAATTAACCATCAGAGGCCTGGGAAAGTGTTGAAATGTGGGTTAGACCACCAGGTGATGACTAGATGACAGTGTTTCTTTTCTTGTTCATGGAGTTTCAGTTGCATCATGGGATTGGACAGAGGATGGGAGAGGAAATCACCTGTTGCGCATGTGAGCTCGGCGTGTCTGGGTTTGGTTACAAACAACTGAATGCCAGGTATGTGGAGAAGGCATGAGTGGAATCATGGGAACTTTTTTTGTCGCCTGAGAACTCATGGCACCACTTCCTTCAGACCAGTAATTGCGGGTTAATGCTCAGAACCGTTAGTTGAATCATCAAATGGCCTCTTGTTACTTAATTGTTTAGTGAAATGATGTGAAAAAGTGTTGCTCTGAGCTACGTAGGGATGACGCTCATAGGGTTAGGCTGTTGGTGTCTCCCTCATTAGTTAACCTGCAGTGGAAATCTGCACCAAAATACATTGTAAAAACTCTACGTTATGTTTTCATCTGTTTGTTTGTTTTCTTGTCTCTTAATTTGCAGGATTATGCAGAAACTACAGGAAGGATTACCACAACTTGGTTCAGGGATGCGGTATGGATCAGGGAAGAACCTATTAAATCATGATGCGGATCCGAATCAGGGCAGATCCATGATTCCTTTTTTTTTTACAAATTTCTAGTAAAATGAGAAACATCTGGCATATTTAGGGGAACGGATATTTGGTACAAAATGTATTGAATTTAAATATTGAAGGAGACTCCTGGGCCTTGGTTAAAGTATGTGATCTTTGTTAGTTAGCAGCATTACACAAAAGTGGGTGGAGCCAGGATTGTTTTTTTTACTCTCTTAAACAGGATTGGTTTCTCTGGTTTGTGACATCACAAACCCTGGCTGTTTGAATGGAATGTTTTTTAGGGCATATGTTTTCTTTCTCTCTCTCTCTCTCTCTCTCTCTCTCTCTCTCTCTCTTTGTCTCTCTCTCATTCTCATTATTATTAGTATTATGAGTGTTATTATCATTAACAACAACATAACATCTATAAACATCACTCTTATTATTTTCATTATAACAACTCTCTCTCTCTTCTCTCCCCAATTCTCCACCCACCTCTCCTCTCTCACCCCAGATGGGAGCCCACCTTGACTCTGGTTCTGTCCTCTGTTTGATGTAAAATGCTTTGAGATAATATATGTTGTAATTTGGTGCTATACAAAAATATACAATTGATTTATCTCTTTATTTCTTTGGCGATCAGCCCAAATTTCTCAGAATTTGCACAGGGAATATTACAGATCAATCAATCACAGTAAAATAAAAGAAACACAGTCACTAAGATGAACTTGGGTGGGTTGTTATCGCGAGGAACTCTGAAGCTCAAGAGGTGAAGTGAAGCGAGTGTTTTTCTACGTCGACGCTTCCAGGGTCGCAGAGAGAGAGAGAGAGAAGGTGGGGGGGGCTTTTATCGCTGAGCAGGGAAACTCACGACATGTATGATCCATGTGAAGGCGTCATGGGTGTGTTTTGTAAATCCAGACTGCAGCTTTGAGACTGAGCAGCGGGGGCGGCTCACATCTGTCGCCGCTGGAATCCCGGTTTCAGCACCTGGACAGCTCCCTGTCGTGAATCTCCACCTCCTCCTCTTCCTCCTCCTCCTCCTCCTCCTCCTCTTCCTCCTCTTCTTCTTATTTTTACCATCGGGCACATGGAGTCCCTGCTGTGACTGTGGTGGAGGGGAAAGCCCTTGCACATCCCTCCGAAGATGTCAGTCTCTCCCTGATTTGGTGACAAGCCCCGTGGTCTCCGCTGAAGGATGCTGCTTCCAGTCCGGAGTGGGGGTCTTCATCGTGCGCTGTCTTCTGAGGGGCGATACGGGAGCTCGGCCGACGCAGATTTAAGGGGGATCGCAGCCTACACACAGCAAGATCCGAGCCTCCCTCATCATCATCACCACTTCCACCACCATCATTATCATCGGCGAGGAGGGAGATACAGCGATCATCTCTGCGAGGGCAAAGGAGTCACGACAGCACTTTACACAATGTAGAGCAATAAAACGCCAAAAGGTTAGTGTGTCTTTATCTCTTTACCATGCGGGGGGGGGGGGGGGGGATTTAAAGCGCACAGGGCAAGTTGGTGGTTTACAGAGAGTGTGTGGCCTGTATAAGCACAGTGGGATGTTCGTGGTGGATATTTTTTACTAATGCATATTGGTGAGGGGAAATGCAGGAAATAGAGAAGTAGACCACAGTGTTTTTATTTTTAGTTGTTGGAGTTGAATAGAAATGGCTGCTTTGGTTGACAGCCACCTCCTCTAATGAAGCACTAATGTAAGTAACACAGTGGTGATGATGATGACTTTAATTTTTCAGACTGAGGGTCCAGATGAGATACAACACAACATCAATTCAAATGCATACAAATGTACAAAATAAGTAAGCCAGTTGTAAGTGGTACCTCAAGGTGTTGGATCTCATAGGCTTCCGACATTTACTCAAGTCCATAAACACTTCTCACATTAACAATTTGAGAGAGAGAGACACACTCAGCATCACACTTCTCCTTCTGTTCACATCAACAGTGACTTCTCACATTAACAGTTTGTTAATGTGTTATTCTCTTTGACTTTCTCCATGTCTTGTGACCAGATCAAATGTTTTCTTTGGGTGCTGTGGAGAAACAATATCGCTCGGCCCTTGAAGGACCCCGGGGTGATTTATCCTGAGTGGCAATTAATCTGCTTGTGCTTCACCACATTACTCTGCTGTGGCTGCTGACTCCTCACCTTCCCTGTGTGTGTGTGCAGGTTTCCACCTCCTCAAATCAGTCAAATGTTCTGTAAAGCAATGCAGTCATCTCTCGTTGACAGCTGATTTCAGTGTACATCTGAGAACTGGGGGCTTGTGTGTTTTTGTATACAAAGTGGATGCTTCATCTGGAAGCAGTGGCTATATGTGTGCTCGTGGCCCTCCTGTCTCCTCATGTCATGTCTGCTCCTTGCAAAGCAGCTGGGGTGGGCTTTACCCGAACAGACGTGGACATAAATGGCTCTCTATCCCGTGGCACAAAGAGCAGAGCGTCCTGCTGCACTTGCTATGCACGAGGTGTGATGTTCCTCAGCCCCTGATTCACAGAGCGGAGCGTATATTGGAGGAGATTTAAAATCCATTACACTTTAGTGCTCCCTAGGAAAGTAGTTGAACGGAGCTGAAGTTAGGACAGGGCGCCTTCGAGGGACGTACAAGAAGTGATATTACCCTGATAATTGTTCATGTATTTCTGTTTTATAACACAACTGTAAATATATATTTTATAGTTGTTGGCCTGATAGTTCATTCATGACCTTGGAAAATCAATTTCCCAATGAGATCTATTAGTAGAGCTTCCAATCATCTCTCACAATATTCCTCAGCAGACAGATTATATCCCGTGATTAACGGCATTTATTTTCTTTCCCTGTTGTATGACATTGCTTTGTTGTATTTTCTGTAGGTGTGGTAGGAGCCAGGTGTCTGCGGTGGTGAAATCACATTTCACACTTGAGGTCCCTTATTGTGGACATCTATTTGCTGCAACAAGACCTCAACATGAGCAATTCCCAGTAAGTATAATAACACCCACAAGAGTCAAGTTCAGGAAATATCTATTTATGAACATCTTACACAAAGGACACCTCGCCGTAGTACAGGATATGACGATCAGAACGTGACCTCCATATTCTCTTGTCCCTCCTGTGGATGACTTTGAACAGAGATCAGTGGGAAAAAAGCGGAGCTCTGAGCGGCCTGGTCCGGCGTCTCTGAGAGTGAGAAAGCTGCCATCTCTAGTCCCCGTCGGTGTCTCTTAGCATTCAGGAGGGACGTTCACTTGTCATCTTCTCTTATTAATAATTACTCTGTGTGAGGTCCTCCAGACAGGCCCTGCATTCTGATGACAGCCAGGGTTGGGGCTAAGAGAAAGGGAAGAGGGAGGGAGCAGGGCAACCGAGTGGAATGGGAGGAGGTGGAGTAGAGTGGAGGGGGAGTGAAGGGTGAATGCAAAATGGGTTCAGTCAGCTGCATCTCCTGGTTAAAGGCACAGGGTGCTGCTGCTTCCAACCACCACAGATCACCGGCCGGGCATCGGAGCAGCTCATGGTTGCATTGCTGCTAAAATGTCTATAACCAGAGAGAACGTGTGCATATAAAGAATATATTGACCGGTTTTTTAAGTACAAAGGCTTGATTTAATGCTGCTGAACGCTGCTGAGAGTCTGAAGTGGCAGATGGGAAAAACTCTCATGCAGAGAAAGGTCTTTGGAGTTATTTTCACCCCTGCTCTCCCAGACTTGATGCAGCTGTAACCTCCCACCCACTGTTCTCTCTCTCTCTCTCTCTCTCACGCTTTAAACAGTGAGAGGCAACGTGGAAAAATGTTGGATGCTCAAACACAACAAAATTCAAAAACGTACAATCTTTTTATTTCTGCATGTACTTCACATTTAACTCGCAGTGTGTGCAAAGAGAAAACTAAGACAGGAAGATTACACAGCCTTCCTGATGAAGCCGAGCTCTTATTATTCGCTCATGTGTGGAGCCGTTTGTACATTATTAATTTTTTTCTCATTCAGTGCACAAAGAGCAAACACCACACACCCGGAGGAGCCCACTGGCTTTGAAACAGGTCAGCTAACATGTAACTAACCTCAGAGTCACATGATCCGGTGCCATGTTGCTCCTAATTCCTCTGCACAATGACTGCAGGGAAATCCACTGAAAAAAGGAACTATTATTATATTAAGTTTATGTCATCAATCAGATTTTTCTTTTAATTGTTTGTTAGATTCCAGAATTGTAGTTCTCAGTTTTATGTTTCTAGTCTAATAAGAGGCTTTAAATGCCATTAACTGTATTTCTGTTACAAAGTTTATACTTTATACTATTTATATTAAGATTATGTTTTGTCATGGTAGGTAATATTCAACATTTAAAGGACCAAATGCAACAAAACATAAAGAATAAAATACTCAATACAGCATCAAGTGGGTGAAGCTGAAAGCAGTGCCCAGTGAACGCAGTGTTAGTAATTATTAATGGTATGAGTAACTAGATTGCCCTTGGCTATTTGAGATGTATGTCTTGAGGGGAAATAAATGGACATGGGGCTGAGTATGAAGTTGTTAATTGACAGTACCACTCATTGTTTGAGTTGGTCACAAATAGACACTGGCAACTTCATTTGTAGATCAATCAGCTGCTGTTGGGATGTCTGCAGAGTAAATCTTAATGTGATTTTAGCCTTGTTAGTTTGGGCAATATATGGATATTCTATGGATTCACTCTTCATTGATGCAGTGGGTTTGATAACAGTAAAAGGTCAGATCTTACGAATGTGCCGTTGTGTCAGGAGCTTGTGGCCGAGCTGCTGGAAAATCTTGCCCATTTAAGCGATTTGGCAAATTGGTCCTACTTCCCTGATAATATCAGAACAGTGATTTGCACCAAAGAGTGGCCAAGTTTCCTTATATACAAACGTTCTGGCTAAGACGGAGCGGATGGGCTGCAGACAGCTGGACAGAAATACTGTGGCATTGAGCTCTCGGAATGACAATGATACCCATGCCCTCTGCAAACCACCAGTTCATGCTGAGGCAGCACTTTAAACTCCAGTGAAGTGACTGAAGCAGATCATTTATCGCTCTGAATAGGCGATTTAAAAAATGAGGCGACAGATGTCAGTCTCACCCCGTATCACTTTGATAGAAAAACTATACCATACTCAGTTTGCTCAGTGTCATGTCAGAATTACATATTATGTTAATCAGGAGCTTTTATTTATGTTTAATTTGAACAAACGTCTTAGTTAAAGCTTTTTATCCATTGAAAGTTGGCTCATGTTTCAAATCTATAAGAAGACGACGACTCACTGCTGACAAAAACCTCGGCCCTGGACATTAACAAATTCCATTCTGATGAAAACTTGGGTAGAAATAGATCGTCCAGATCTATGGAACCACTGAGTCCTGCCAAGAAGGATGTTCATATAGAAAGTGTGGAAGTCAAAACAGTCAGTCTTTTATGTGATTCCCAGAAATGTGTTGCGGAAGTGAATTGTCTCCATGGAGGGTCACATCATCAAAGCAAGATCTCAGCAGGCCATCATATTCGTATCTATCTATTGATCACTGTGTAGTGATTTATGGGGATGTGATGTGAAAATGCAGGGGCAGTAGCTATGGATTGCTGTCACCAGGGAAACGTACATTCCTGGCATTTATTATATGCATAAAACACAGATTACACAATTATAGTTACACATTCTAAAAATTCATACATATTATATCTTTAACCTATACATGTAAACTAAAAAGACACTGTTGGTGCCTTTTGTATGAGTGTGAGATTCCCCCCCTGGCCATGCACGCTCCGCATTAACCTTTTTGCTTTCTCGTGGCATTTGCTAATATGGCATTCCTCTGAAAGGATCGCAGCCTGTAGCATGCCACTGGCTGTCCTTGCCTGAATCGTTGAAGGGTGCAGTGTTCAGATGTGAAGCCTCCGCTCCTCTCCCCAGGATGGCAACCAGCCACTTCATCAGGCTCTGCACATAATGGCTCCTGGCCTGCTCTGTGATTGTCTGGAAACGTGATTTTGATGCACCGAACAGTTTGAGTCTGTCATGACCGATTAGCGTCCTTGTTGCGGTTGGTCGGAGGTGCCAAGTCCACAGATAGCGCTGGTGTGTGCAGCTGTGTTTTTGTGGTGAGCATGTTGATACGCGGGCGTTTGACCCTAAAGCTGAACAACACATTGAGTGAGCAGGACTCGCAGAGACAAAGATAATATATTCAAACATTCAGGGCGTGAAAATGAGAAGAATTTGTGCATAGATTCATGATTTCTTTGATACTTATCACGTCAGTTTATTTAACAGCCATTAGTCAAGAAGCAAGACAGGGAAAACAAAGATCTACTTTCCTCCCCTGACTGACCACTTCACATAAACCAGGGGGTGGGTCTGCTCAGTGATCTTCAACTAACCGTTTCCTCCCACAGCTTCACCTCCAGCACACAGAGGTTGTAGAATTTACCAACCCAGTAGCTTTTGTTCCCTCATATCTTGTAATCAATGCCTTCCTCCACCGTTAAGCATCGGGGTTATTGATGTCTCCACGCTGGGTGCACTGGGACGGCTGCCAAGCTGCGTGAGCCTCCTGTTCCAGGGTGACTTCTCCTTGTCCACTATTGGCTGCGGAGCTCGAAAGGATCGCACACACACACCCCCCTGCATATTTAAATTTGAGGACCTCAGTGGCAGATAAAATGACTTTGTCTGGTTCGGCCAAACATCGCCGTCATCACAGTGAAAATACAGTAGAGAAATAAAAAAGGGGTAAAAAACAAAAAACACTTTTTGTTCAACAAATATTAATACTTGCTTCGTAGCAGCATTGGTAGCCATTTTTAATGTATGCCACAGGGTTTTTATAGCTATTTTATTATTTTCCCTTCCTTTGAGTATTCAGTCAGATTGAAACAGAGAAAAAGCCTCAGACAATGTTAATTGTCCTTTATTTTATTTATCACTGTACAACTTTATTTAATGGCTCCTCTGATACAATTATTTAATGTGCTATGCTTTAACAACAATCCAATCCAGGGGAGGAGCAATGGATGTTGTGATTAAAAGGTGACTTTTGATCATCTCTGACTCCGACATATCAAGTGTTTCAGCGAAATCGATTGAGACTAATAGATTTTGACTTCCGTCAGGGAGGTTATGTTTGTTTGTAAGCAAGATTACACTAAAAGTACAGCACAGATTTCCACTAAACTTGGTGGAAGGATGTGATATGTGGAATCACTCACTGTTGGCAACTGGGCTAGCGTCGCCCAAATTTAACAAAAACAATTGAACATCAAATTGTGCACTAGATTAATTATAAGCAGTTTCAGTCCGATGAATGGAAGCCATTGGCCTAAACTGTACAAATGGTTTGTAGTTAAAAACCAGTATCTGTAATGTTTGAATCGGTTAAGTGTTAATCTGTGGGGCGTGCAAATTGATATAGTGGTTTGAGACAAACTGTGCAACACACTCTCCTAATGAGAAATGTAGATCAACTTGTCATGACGAATGTGTCCAGTAAACACTGAAAACAAGGAACTCCCACCGTGTTTGTGTTTTCATTCATCAAAATAAAGCACAGTCCCAGGTGTTATTTTTCACACTTTGCTACCTGAAGCATTTTCAGCATAGGTTTATTGGCTAATTCCAATAAACAACCCACCCTGACATCGAGTTGTGCTGCAGTTCCGCCAGCTTTGCAAACTTCACACCTGCAAACATGCAAAACTAACCATGGATGACACCCACAGCTTCTACTTCCACTCTTTGACTGTAATGTTGCTCTGCGTGTTTGTGTGTGTGTGTGTCACAGGGTTCCTCCACGGGCTGGAGCCTCGGAGCTGGAGGTGATCTCCCAGCAGGTGGAGGAGGACAACCAGTGCATTGCCCCTGTCCAACTGGTCAGCTTCGCCTACAGAGACTTGCCTCTGGCCGCCCTGGACATATCCCTCGCTGGATCACAGCTCATCTCGAACCCAGATGAAGAGGACAACAGAGAGGGGTACGTCCCCTTACTCTCTGCTTTTGCTTGACAGTTTGACCACAGGTATCATTCATGGTCCTGTTTTTGCTAAATACTCATGAGTGGTTTGGACGTCCTGAAACATCAGCCTGAGTGTGTTCACTGTAGGGAAAGAGGAGCTGAATGTGGGGAATGTGAAGTCCTGAAACAACATGAATCTCAACACTTTAATTTGAATGGTTTGAAAGGAATTAGAGATCCCACATTTTGAGGAGGCTGCGAACCAATTACTTTTACGATATCAATGAAATCTTTCTATAATTAATTTGTATACTAAGAAGCTGAAGATGTAATTACATATTGACTAATGTTGGCCAACACAGCTGAGAAGATACTGGAGATACGCTCTCTGAGACATTGTCTCTGCTGTTGCTTGAAAGCGCTTCATCCATAATTAAGGCAGAATTGCAATTAGTACAATCTATAATCTACCCTGGCAGAGAATAGCTCTGCCGTCATTCTCTGCATTGCCCATTATTCCACATGGTAATTACGCTTGACGTATTGAATCACCCCTCGTTTTATATTAGAGTCCTGGAGTCGGGGGATATTTGCCAATGAATTTATTAGTGTCACCGTTTAAAATGGACAATGTCTCATTTCAGTTCAATGACACAGCGATTTCTCACCACCAGACAGGCTTCTGTTCACAGTGTCGACTTCTGGTGGAAAGTGTTGTTAGCACTGTAGCCTTGCGTTGCGCTGTTTCTGTCCTCGGGGGCCTCTTATCCTGGGTTTGTGTTGTTGTCTTCATCGCCATATTGGCCTCCTGCAGGCCCAACACTCTCAGGACAGGACAGGACAGGACACACCCCTCCCACAGCTCCCCTGTAGCCCGTGTCCATGGCTCTCCACTCAGGAAGCGTGACTCACAACCCTTTGACTCGCTGAGATGCTGGCGTCCACACAGAGAGAGTCAACAAACAGCATAAGCTTAATTAGAGCATCCGGCATTTTGCCATCCGAGCCCCGGTGTGTCAGCCGACCATGTCCGGCTGGACTTCGCCTTGTCTGGCCCGGTCAGGCCGACGTCTCTGTGGGACAGAGTGCAGGGACAGATGGGTCCTGTCCCGAACACCCACTCTCTCACCCTACTTCGCAATTTTTGTGACTGTCTCCTGATCATAAAAAAGAAAAGAAGTAGCAATGTCACAGCAGAGGGCAGGATGTGGCAGCCCAGCAACATTTTCATCACAGTGGGCATTCTCATATGGCCCCATATGACACCCTGGTCCCCTGGGATTTGGCATTGTGCAGTGGAAAATTGCAGGACGTGTCTCTGGCAGATTTATCAAGACAACAATTTCAATATTTTCTTTCAACGCTGGTTCGCATCAGCAAAATTCAGAATCAGAATCAGAAATACTTTATTAATCCCCTTAGGGAAATTCAAATGTCACCGAGCTCCTGAGAAAGAGGCGAAAGAGCAAAAGCAGGTAAACATTTTTAAGAAAGAGTCCAGAGAGTCTAGAAACATTATAGAGTAAATAAAGCAGTGTTCTTTCAGTCTATGTCAGTGTCACAGTATGTCCAGAGCTTTTCAGATTGGAATTCTTGATTTTCCCGTCACAGACATCGTAAGACGCACCTGTCATCACAGTTTCATACTCACACATTTGTCGCCTTTGGAAAAAATCTGTTGTTCGTCATCACAGGTTCTTGCTTCCTTTGTGACTCATGTTTGTAACATCAGAGGAATGAAACAAAGGTGGGATGTGTTGTATGCTGCGAAAATAATTAGAGTAATCAACATCATCACAGGCCCTAATGACAGATCAGTGAACTGACTGATCTGTGTCGGCGTTTTTCTCCTTGTTTTTGGAACGTGTCTTCACAGAGACTCCTCCACACACTGTAGGCTAATTTTAGCACTTTTGTAAATGACTGTGCAGAAGAATGTAAACCCACTTTCATCACCTCGCTGCCGGTGCTGCAGTGGCTCTGTACTTGAGTTTTGGCGATCAGCAGGACGGTGTGTTTTAGCAAACTACTATGACTTGTATTCCAGAGACGCCTACATATCTGAGTCATGTTGTGGTCTAGATGTGATTACGTCCTGTGGTAGTAAGTCCATGAGCAGGTGAATTCTGATATTAATTTAAAAATAAAAATGTGGTTTGGAAAAACATTCAGGACAATGGAATCACTTTATATCAAAGGCCAGAGATGAAAAACAAAATGGCTTATTGCCTCTAAACTGAGCCTAAATATGTGATGATGAGGCTGTGGCTTGGTTTGGTGAAAGCAGAGCAGGAGAATACACATTTCATCTTGCACGGCAGCTTCTCGTGGCTCTTTAAGAGGAGACGTGGGCGATCATGTAGGAGGTGGATGTTCTTGCGGACTACACGGGGCACACGCAGTACATGCAGATCCTGTGCAGTGGTGAGCTGGGTGGGATTATTAATAGATTTCACCATCTTCTTCAGAACTTATTGGAAAGTTCAAGATGAGGGTGGTGTCAATGCAAATCCATATTTATTTAAAATGATTGTCCTATTTGTGTCAGTGTGTTATTTTTAAAATCCAGCTTCTTGTGCAAGATTTTTCTTTTTAGGAATTTCATGTCTTTATTTGATCGTGTCAGTGGAGACAGATGGGAAATACAATGAAAGAGAGCAGGTGACAAGTCAAGTCACCTATTCAACAATCCTGTAGCAACCAGTGCTTAATAATAAACAGGTATTTAATAGGCATGTTTTCATCAGCGTTTGTTTTTTTATTTGTTTGACTGTTTTTACAAAAACTACTGAACCAATATATTTTTTTGAGAGCTGGGTCATGACTCAAGGCAGAAACCATAAAATTTTAGTGTGGAACCAGCTCAGATTTTTATTTTTTTCATTGTGCTGTGTTCATCAATTTTTGAGTCAAAGGTTTATTTCATTTGCCTGCCTTATTCTTAGATATATGTCTCTGTCACTATCCATCTACAACTAGAATGGCACACAGTGGAGCACATCGCTCCACCAAGACCCAGCGGTCCCCTTAAATTCAATCAAGCTGAACAAAGTTTCACACACGCATAGATATCAGTCCCCTAAATGTGCCATTTTTCATGTGCCTGATCTTTTTCATCAATTGGTGAAAAAAACACAATGTTAAAGAAATTGATTAAAAAATACCTTGATCCACCCGTTTGTCCAGATTTGTGCCACGTCCCATCCTTCCACCAAAATTTGTGGAAATCCGTCACCCAGCAAAAGACAGAGACAAAAAAATAACCCCTTTGCAGAGATAATAATTTCAGAATACTTGCATATCTCAGGTGACTTTGGATAAGATAAGGAGGCAGTTAGTCACTAATAAACTCAAGTATGTGTTACAGGTTTTAACAATGGTGCCACAACAAGCTGGTGTATTTAGATTGCATTGTGTTGATAGGTTGGGTAGGACTCTTGGCGTCGGCCTGTAGACCTCAGGCTGCACATCCTGCACTTGTCATAGGTTTTTATCCCCAGATCAGCCTGCTGTCCACAGCAGCACAAGCAGCATATGCCACTGATCTCCAGGGGGCAGACTGAAGAGGTGTGAGGCACTGCAGGAATGACAGATGGTTCATATGGGTCAACCTGCTGCTTTGACTGGAGGAGAGTGGAGGCGGAGCGGATCAAGAGATAGGATGGACGGAGGAATGGAGCTGACAACTCTCTTCCATGCTTTCATTCAGAAAGCTCACAGGGAGATGGCTTCGTTTGATGACTGTCATATGTGTTGGATTGCGGTGTGGGATTAAGCCACAGCTGATCCCATGTTTGCAGAAATCTTGGATCATATTATATATGCACAGGTCAGGGCAGATTGATTACATTAGTCCACATAGTGCTCAGGCCTCCCCCAGTGAAATAAAGTTCTCCAGCCACTTCTCATTCACTCTGGAGCATTAATACAGCAGCATGTCAGCATGCACATAATCAAACCTAGGTTGAAATGCTCAAGGTTGAAGGAAGATGGAATAATTAGAAAAAATCTAGACTGCAGAATATATATGTGAAGGACCGTGCCAGACTCGAGTAGGAATCTTGGCAGCAGCGATATTTCATGGGGATTTAGAAGCGTAGCTGGACTACACCTGTTCTATGTTGATGGATGTGTGAAAAAGAACAGGATTTCTCCCTCCCCCCATCTGACTCTATTTCAAACACACAGAGAGGAACAGTCCTCTCCATCAAATTGGCTCTCTTGCCTGGCACCATGCAACACAATAGATGACATTTGGGTGCCGGGTTTGAGGGTTTGTTAATATTCACAGACATGCAAAGTGCGAGATTGCTTTTTAGGCTGAGAGCGAGAGAGATCAAGTGTCCTGGTGAAAACCCATTTATCAGGGACAGCTTGTCTGCTGCTTTGCACATGGAGCTCCATCCATCTCCATTTGCTTAGTATCTGTGGCCCAATTCTCTGGCGTAGACCTGCTCTGAATCTCCTCTGTTGGTTGTCAAGTGGTGTACGATGCTCGGAGTGAAGAGATGACAGGTGATCACGTTTGGAGACAAGTGGAACAGTGTGGTTTTACTGGAAAGCTGCATGTATATTCACTAAAAAGATTTTTAACCAGAGGGGATGCAGATACAAGGCCAATACTTAATTTTACTGGAATTGATTTCTCTTCATTTGATTTGTTAATTTACCACACAAATGTTGATTCCCCGGGCGTGAGACTGTAAAAGATTAATAACAATGAGACTTCTCAGCTCTACAATGCATCATTGATTAGCCACGATAGCTTCACTTTATTCAGCATATTTATTGCTTTGCTGGTTTCCCTCTCTCCGGGTTTCCTTTCTTTTTTTCTTCGGCCGTGATACCCTGCCCTGCAGTGGTTATGGATGAGCGGATTTAGCCAGTTGTTACTGTGGTTTTTATTTTCATAGGAGGATGCCAAACATGTGCTTTCTTAATAATTGCAACGCTATCAAGTAGAAAAAATGCCTCTTCAAGTTTAAAAAGTAAGTTGAGGTGCGTTTGTATAATTGAAC